ACCCGATGCATGAAATGAGACCCGAAATGCAAAAATAGGCATACGCAATGACCTATAGCTATACAAAACATGCATTATTTGAACATGAAGTGTGAATAAAGCTTCAAGGCAGTCCCAAAACAAGCATATTTACAGTTTTAATCAAGGCCAAACAATGAACACAAATAAGGCTAAACTAGCATGCAAAAATGGCCCCGAAAGAGAGGTAATGAAGCAAGTGGAAGCTTCTGGCCCTAAATGGCTAATATCCCTTCAACAAAGTTGAATAGGGGCTCAAAATGAATCACTTTACAGTTTACAACCGAGCCCAAAACAGTGCACAAGCCAGCTTAAAATACTAAGCAAAATAAGGCCTAAAAAGAGGTTTAAACACAAAGTGTAAAAAGGGAGCCTCAAACAGCAAAAGACCCTTGATCAAACATGAAGAGGGGGTCAAAATAAGGCCATTTATAGTTCAGACCAGAGCCCAGAATATAAGCATAAGGGGCTAACAAATCATGCAAAAATAAGGCCAAAAGAGGGATATAAAGGTAAGTGGCAAATGGAAGCCTCAAACAGTGATGATCCCTTCAACAATGTTGAAGAAGGGCTCAAAATAAGCCACTTTACAGTTTATGACAGAGCTCAAAACAGTTTAAACGTAGGCCAAAAATACTACACAAGAAATAGGCATACAAGAGAGGTAAAGAAGCAAGTGCCAAAAGGAAGCCTCAAACAGTGAGAGGCCCTTAAACAAACATGAAAAAGAGCTCAAAAAAATTCTATTTTCAGTTAGGGTCGAAGCCCAAAAGTGTAAGCAAGAATGGCTAAGAAAGCATGCAAAAATGAACTCAAAAGAGGGGAAAAGAGGCTCACCCTTGTAGACCAATCTTTGACAACCTCTTGGCACAAGAAATGGTGCTCCTCAGCTCTGGAAAGCAGCTCTAAGTGGCTGGAATGGAGGTGGTGGAGTGGTGCTAGGTGGTGGTGTAGAAATATTGTAAGAACTTAAGGGTTTTGAGGGTTAGGATATAGAGAGGGAGAGATACAAGGCAAGAGGCTTGGGGAAAATTTTTGTAACCCTCAGAACAGAGCTAGAGCTGCTGTTATATAGACAAAGAAGGGTGGAAAAGAGGGAGAAAAATGGGGGGGGGGAAACAATTCAAGTTTCCCCGCAAAAGGCCAAACCCTCAGACATAAGGCCTAGAGGAAAACAAAATTCACTTCTAGGACACACTTGGGGAGGGGGTTATGGAAGGCTAGCTAAAAAGGGAAAAAAAATTCATTTCACCAGGTAGGTGGCCGGCCTGTTAGATTTTCTGGCCGGCCTGCTACTTTCAGGACAAAAAAATGGGCTGCCGGAAAGAAAAGTGGCCGGTGGGTGATTGGGAAGTCCAATGGTGGCCGTTCAAGTGTCCAAATTGAAGCCCCGAAAGTTATATTTCCAATGGCGCAAACCTTGCATTAAAATTCCTCCTGTGGAAAAAGTTATGCCCTTTTTTGGTGAAGCCGCGCAGATTTCGGTCCAACCGGAGTGATGCCCTACTTTAATCAACTATATCTGCCCCGTCCGGAATTGGATTTAGGAGATTATTGAGTGCAAAATGAAGCCCCAGAAGTATTATTTCCAACGGTGGTGGCCTCGTAGCTTGATTCCAAGTATGCAAATGAATAGGCCCGATTCGGCGAGGGCTGTTCGACTCTTTCATAACGGTTCATGCCCATTTTCTCCCCCAACTGGATTTCATCCCTCTTCTCCTCTTTTCTTCGACTCCAAACCCCTAAGTAAGGTGTTTTGAAAGATTTTTTAAAGATTTCATCTCTCTTTCATTTATTTCCACTTTGTCCTTGCTCGGTTTACCGAAAAGCGCAACATTTGACAAAATGCGAGCCTCGGAACATCGTAAAAAACTTTATTTCAAAAATGTTTTGAAAGAGAGGGTTTTAAGGTCTAAAATATTTTGATCAAAATTGTTTTGGTCCAAAAAGGGGTATGAAGTTGAGCTTTGACTCTCTCCTTGCCGAAGAAACTGAACCTTTCCCCTGCACACCTTTCTCCATCATGTAAACCATCAGTCGCGTCCAAGTCTTAAAGGCAGTCAAAAATGGGGTGTCTACAATGCCCCTCTTCGCCTTGATCTTCATCGTCACTTTCATCTTTATCAGATTCTGATTCATCATCCCAAGTAATAGCAAGGGCTTTCTTCTTCCTCAAACGAGTGGGGCATTCTGAAGCAAAGTGGCCAAATCCTTGGCATTCATAGCATTGGACACTTTCAAAGTTCCCTTGTATCTTTCCTTTTTCTTTCTTGGCTATAGGATTAATTTTGAGTTTATCTTTGCCTTTGGATTTATGAGTATGAGTAAATTCCAAAAGATTAGGATTCTTTTTCAAAAAAGATTTTTTGAATTGTTTTACAAAAGCATCCACAATCTTGGAATCTATCTCACAATCCTCATCAGAATCCTCTCCAACTCTATGAGCACTACTAAAAGCAATATCTTTTTGTTTTTTTTTGAAATTCCTATGTGCCTCATAAGTTTGGAGATTTCCAACCAAGTGATCCAGCTTGAGGGTGTCAACATCTTGAGCCTCCTCAATAGCCGTAACTTTTGGTTGGAATCGATCGGGTAAGGATCTCAAAATTTTTCACACAATCTTGGATTCCAGTATTTTTTCACCTAAATTGAAGCTGGAATTAATAATGTCACTCAATTTCGCATAAAATTCATCAAAGGTCTCACTATCTTTCATTGAAAGGTTTTGGAAACTAGATGTGAGCCTTTGAAGTTTTGAGCATTTAACCGAATAAGTGCCCTCATGAATAGTTTGTAAGATATCCCAAGCCTCTTTTGCGACTTCACAATTACAAATACGACTAAACTCTTCAGGTGTGACAGCGCAAAAAAGAGAATTGATAGCTTTACTATTCCAGCTACTATTTTGGTAATCAATTGTGTCCCACTTATCAATTGGTTTGGGGAAAGTTACTCCATCAACGGTAATCGTTGGTTCAGTCCACCCATACATGACAGATTGCCAAACTTTTTCATCAATAGATTTTAAAAACGATCTCATCCGAACTTTCCAGAAAGAATAATTGGATCCGTCAAGTAGGGGTGGTCGAACCATAGAATTTCCCTCACGAATTGTATCCATTATCACAAATCAAACAAGATCTCGCTCTAATAGATTTTTTATTAAAAAAAATAGAACGACCCGCTCTGATACCAATTGAAAAATCTAGAAATCCCCTAGATGTTGATTTGTGATTATGTATCAATTTTAAGCAGTATATAACAATCCCAACCAAACAATCAAGACAAATCGATACGATGATTTTAACGTGGAAAAACCACAATTGGACACCTCCAACTGTGATTAAAAAACCATGGGCAACCGCCATGAAACAATCCACTAAGAAGATTTAAAGGAATTACATAGGTATACTCTCAATTTCCTAGCGAATCCACGCCTAATTGAACCAACCTCTATGGGCCTCTTCCAACTCCGTCTTCATCTCGGAATTGTCTTTACGATGAGCCACTCCAGAATCCACCGAAGCTTCAGGCTCGAATTCTTTAGAATCTACCAAAGAACAACTCTCTCTCTCTCTCTCTCTCTCTTGTGTATAACAAACAAAACCTTTGATGTACTCTCTTTAAACCATGAGTTGAATACTCAATAAAACATCAAAGAAAACTCACAAAATATCCCCAGATATAAACCTTAAGAACCAAAAAGAAGATCTGGAGGAATTAATTTAGTTTTGGGAGAAAGCCAACTATTTATAGAAAACCAAAGTAATCCTAATTTTGGAAGAAAACCAATTCCTTATAGAAATCCAAAATAATCCTAGTTTTGGAAGAAAACCAATTCCTTATAGAAATCCAAAGTAATCCTAGTTTTGGAAGAAAACCAATTCCTTATAGAAGTACAAGAGTGAATAAAATTATAACTGAAAATTTTTTTTGTCAAACGGGATTGCCAAGAATAAAAACCTAACAATATTAAATAACTTACAAATCATAATTTAATTTTAAAATCATGCTAAGCATAAAATAAAAAATAAAAAATAAAAAAGAAGTCTAGTGAAAGGAGTTTTGTCTCTGTAGTATAAGAAAATATTGTTTCAACTACGGTACGGTACGGTTTAGATATACACTAGGTACGTCTAGGTACGCCAAAAATTTAGAAAAAAAAAATTGGATACGTATTTTGTGTACCCGGTACGTATGCAGAAGTACCATACAAGATACCATATGCCGGTAAGTATCCGGTACGGATACGGTATGTTTTTCGAAGTACCCATACTTCATAGTGCGTTATACTTGACCTACGATTATTACTACATAATTCGCTATTCACTTGCTTATAGAAGCCAAAAAATGTAAAGTCTGAACTTGTTTGGTACTTGTTTTAAGCCATGTTTGAATTGTGTGTGCCAACATTATAAGTTTTTCAATCTCCATCTTTTCGGTCTTTCAAGTTTCAGGTGCCTTTGTCATATTTGCCTTTTGACAAATGATGAACAAGATGATTTTGAGTTGATCATTGAAGATAACAGTTACAATTGCTTACATTTGCTTCATATTAATTACAATAACATGTCATCACCCTTCTTTTTGAGTTGAAGAATGCATTCATATGCTTCATATTTCTCTCGTTTTATATCTACCAGTTTATTCTGCAGAGAACTAATATCACTTTCTATAGCTTTTAATTCTCGCTTTTGATGTTCAATCTTTGCGGTATGTTTTTGATCTTCCTTACGTAGTCTTTCAATTCATTGTGTATAAGCTACAAAAAAAAAAAAAAAAAAAAAAAAAGGGAGAGTTTTTCATAGAACTTATGGCATTTTAATATAAAATTTCCATACTCAAATAGTTTCTAACTTATTTTCTGACCACAAGTTATTTTGTAAAGCCTTTTAAAAATAAAATAGCCCTTCACAAAAATATCTTACTTGAATATGATCCTGAATATCTTTTCTGGAGCCCAAATAGTATCGAATTTGTTCAGCTTCTGGATTAACATTATTATTATTAAGTTTAATATTATTTATTTTTGCTTCATTCTGTTTTATCTCTCTAAGAAGCTTCTTCTCCTCTGCAAGACTGTTACTGTCGTGTTGTATCTGATAGTTCAAACTCTTTACCTGCAATTCATAATTTCACATTATTTATTGTCTTTGTAATTATTCCTCTTTAAATTCAAAACAAATTTACTTAAAATTGCCAATGATTTTCTTAATCTTTTTTATTACTATGATTTGGAATATAATTTCCTAGTTTATATTCTATAATCAGCTCAATTACAAATATAACAAACTAGATTTTAGCAGTGGACTTGGGTTCAAGTTCGCCTTGGGTGGGTTTGGGCCAAGCCCATTATACATAATAATACTTGAAATCATTTCTCAAATTTGGCTCGGCCAGAGATTGGGCCTATATTTTATTTCCAAGCTTGTTCAAAAATAAAATAAAAATCACAAGTTGCCACATGGTCCGGACATTATTTAATATAAATATTATTTTCATGTTTTAAAATAAAACTATAATTAATTAATCATTTGGGTGCCGTTTAAGTTGTTCCAACCTTGTAGTTCAAATTTTATAACTAATCCTTTACCTAACTAATAATACATAATTTATAGTTCTAAAAACTAAAAACAATATAAAACATACATATAAATATACATACTTATAAAAATATATTGCATAATATAAAATTTGGGGTAAACTATCAATAAATCCTAATAATTAGACTTAATTCTCATCAAGTTCTATTAAAAATAATTTCAAATAAAATCGTCGTTAAAAATAATTTTTTGTGACAATTTTTTTGTATGTCTTTAAAAATTGACAATTAGTGATTTTTTTTTATATATATAAACTGTCACTAAATTTACAATTAGTGACTTTTTTCTGTGACAAATCTTTCAAACTGTTGCTGAAAGTTGAAAATTAGCGACATTATTTTGTGACAATTTTTTTAAACTATAATTAAAACTTATAATTAGTAACATTTTTTTTGTGACAAAAAAAAAAAAAATTTATAACGACTCTATTTTATAACAATAATATTATCTAAATTATTAAGTCAAATATATTTTTAATATCATTAAAAAAAGGGGTCATTTATTTTTAATTGACTTCATGATTTATTAACAAAATGAGTTATTTATTATGCAATTAAAAACTTGAAGAAGCCTAATGTAATTTATAGAACTACAAGAAGCAATCTGTATTTGAAGTAAATTTTAAGGGTGTTTTTGTAATTTATCTTTTTTAAAAAATATAAACTACCAGTAGGTTCTAATATTTAAGAGTGTTTTGGGAAGTTGGTTAAAAGTTGATTTTTTGACTTTTTTTAGTCTATTTTGTCTTTTTGTAGGTAAGCTGTGTGAAAGGTAATGTGACTTAAAATGGGTTAAAAGCTGGAAGCTAGCTTTTAATTAGCATCCCAAAAGAGATCTTAATTCCCATCAAGTCCTATTGAACATAAGTCTTTATAAAAGCGTCGCAAAAAATAATTTTTTGTTACGATTTTTTGCATATGTCGCTAAAAATTGACGATTAGTGATTTTTTTTTGGTCACGATTTTTATAAATTGTCTTTAAAACTTACAGTTAATGACTTTTTTGTGACGAATTTTTCAATTTGTTGTTGAAAGTTAAAAATTAGTGACTTTTTATGACAATTTTTTTAAAACTGTCTCTGAAACTTATAATTAGTGACATTTTTTGTGACATTTGTCACTGAAAATTAACAATTAGTGACTTTTTTTTAATAGTGTTTAATAAAAAATGGCATTAACTATCATAAGAACTATTAGACAATAAATCCACCTTTTAAGACTTACACATAAGTTTCATTTTTAAAATAATGGAATACTTGACCTTAAATAACTTACAAAGCAATTGAGTTGTTAGTCCTGAGAGTATGCTCCAATAGCTCCCCTTACTCGGATGGGGTTCTTCGAATGATGAAGCTCTGAGAGACAATTTTGCAAATTCTCGACTTCGTTCTTCCATGCCCAAAAACTATTTGAATAATGTAGTGGTAGGTGCTCGAACTTTGAAATAACATGGCATCCAGGTGGTGAGTTTTTACCAATTATAACTCTCTGAGAGTCTCTCCCTCAGTTAGGGTTAGGGTTCTTTGAAGGCCGAAATTCCTTCAAACATTGCTGCAAAGTCTCCATTTCGTTCCTCCTCGATGATATAGGATATTTGAAAGAGTTCCTATATAGATGTCGTAATTATAAAATTACAAGGTTCCAATCCACCTGTTTGGTAATTCAAAAAAGATAAAAGGTTAGAAACCATTTTGACAACTAATTAATTAATTATGTTTTAGGTCATCATCCTTAATCAAATTCCAGTTTTTTTTTTGGTTGATAAAGTTGAAGTTAAAACCATCTAGGGCAAGAGCCTTACGTCCATGACAGCTACATATAGCTTGGAAAATCTCATTCTCAAAAGATAATGATATGACTGTTTTGTAAAGCCTATAATGAGTTTTTAAAAGTAGTTGTCCACTTAGGATGATCAAATTCATATTATCCCACAATATATTGATTCTATAATCATAACTACATAATTTCATCATATATGGACTAGTATGAAATGAGAAATTATATGACCAATAGGAGAGAAAAAAGATAAAAGAGAAACTGTATGGCACAATGATAAGATTCAAACTCAGGCATCCTACTAATTGCTTGATAAGAAAGCGACTCATCCAACAGACCAACTCTGTCTAAACTTATAAATATAAGTAAAAATGATAAAAGCTATACAGGGTTGGCATACCGTTCCTTTTAGTAATTTTTCAGCAATTTGAGAATAAGCTTCATTTTTCTTTTGAATTAGCTTCTCAGTATCATGAATATCCTTTGTGAAGTTTACTTGTATTAAATGATGATCATCTCTTGAACTTGATATAGGCCCAAATTCTTTCTCATCATCCAAACAATTGTTCTGGGCTTCAATTTCTTCATTCAATATCATTTGCATGAAATCAGCTTCCATCACCTCCATATTCATCAGCATCCAATGCTGAGAAAAAGTGTTAAGAGGATCTGCGTTGTTGTTGTTCTTCGTCATTGAGCTTTTTCATAAGATAAAAAGATAAGAAGTTCAATATTTGGGTATTGACTGTAAATATTCAATCAATATTTATTATTGGGATTGGTCAATGAAATTGAAAGATATTATACAATAAACATTAATGAGCTACATGCACAAAAATTACAAAAATGTACGCGTAAAAATTAATGTGTGATCTAAATTATTTTAAGTGTAATGCTAACCACGCAAAATAAGAATTGAAAAATGATTTGGACCCCCACAGAGGGCACCCCCATGAGCCCCTCTGGCCTATGATTGGCCAATTTTTTTGTTTTGTTTTGTTTTGTTTTTTCCTCCTCCTCCAATCACCAACCCCCACATGTGTGTGGGGGGTGGTGGAGGGGGGTCTCAATCACTTCCCATAAGAATTACATCTAACTGAATAACTATGGTTTAATAATCTAACACAAGAAATAACTAATAATAATAAGTAGAAAGAGAAAAAGTCATGTCTTAAAATAATAAATAGCCCATAATGAGAAAATAAAGAGAAATGTTATAGACCCCAAATAATCTATCAAATCTCTCACATGGGTGTGGGACTCATACAAACCTACATGTGTGTGGGTCCCACACCCAAGCTTGATAGAAAATTTGATAGATTATTTGGGATTCCTAACATAACTTGAAAATAAATAACACAATTAGAAATTTTTTTTTTTTAATTATTTTTTTTTTAAAAACCCGTCTTAAATGAATCTGAAACACATTAAATTTTATATCTCATTACCATATCTCATCTAATAATAAACCTTGGGCCCCGAAAATCTCAGGGCCGGGCTTGTACATATGCCCGTGGAAATTGTATGTATGCCAAGCACATCTATCTATCTAGCTATATATTATATAAGCAAAAGTGAGTATTCGTGAGGAGTTTTGTGAGAACTCCAAAATTTTATAATAAATTTGTGATTTTATCAAATTAAAAAATAAATTTAAAGAGTGTTGGGATTATAATTATATTCTAATTCTAACATTATTTACACCGTGCCTTCAGGCATGAGCATACGCTAGTATATATATATATATATATGTAAGTGTATCAAAAGTGAATTATCTCTAAAATGGTTCTCTATTTTTAAATTTCTCTAACTAGACCCAAATAAAATAAAATAAAATTTCTAATTGAATATATCGCGAGAAGGTTCTTATATTTTGAAATTTTATATGATCACTATAAATGGTTTGAAATAGAGAGATTTGGAGACAATGAAAACAACATTTGTCTTTTGGACATAAAAACAAGAGTAAATTACTAATAGGTCTTAATAATTAGATTTAATTTTCATCAAATCTTATTAAATATAAGTCTTAGTAAAATTATCGTTAAAATAATTGTGTGATGATTTTTTGCATATTTCGTTAAAAATTAGCAATTAGTGACTTTTTTTGTCATGATTTTTATAAATTATCACTAAAATTTACAATTAGTATCATTTTTCTGTGACGAATTTTTCAAATTGTCGCTAAAAGTTAAAAATTAGTGACATTTTTTTGTCACGATTTTTTGAAACTGTCGCTAAAACTTATAGTTAATAATATTTTTTTTTACAATTTTCAAACTGTTACTGAAAATTAACAATTAATGACTTTTTTTATAAATTTTGATGAAATATGCCATTAATTATCATAAGAACTATAGAACAATAAGTTCACCTATTAAAATCTATTTGTAATTCTTCTTAACAAAAACGAAATGGGCACACCTTTTTTTTTTTTTTTGCTAGCAAGAATGTTTGGGGTTGCCGATTAATGTTTTTCCTCCCCATATGATAAGTCAAAATCTTTTTTTTTTACAGATGAAAGCAATACACACAGGAAAATAAAACAGGACAACAAAGGGCAAAGCCTTCACAGTACCAACTCCAAGCATTTCCTCAACAACTAGGGCTCTAACAGCTTCAGGAGGATCTTCAAGCATTACCACATGGTCAGTCTGCGCCACTCCAAGGTTAGCCAGCATATCAGCAGCTTTATTGCCTTCCCTCAGTGTGTATCCAAGAGTACAATTGCATCTTTTCAGCAAGAACTTGGTATCCTCAATGAAGGCTCTGAAAGAGGAGTTGTGACTTGGACCATTTTGTATTAGGTCGATAACTTGAGCCGCATTAGTCTCTATTGCCACATTTATTATGCCTTTCTGGAAAAGGATTGTCAGTTCGCGATAGATAGCCCATAATTTCACTTCTACACCAGAACAGTGGCCCAGATAGCCATAGTAGCCCCATACCCATGTACCAGCTTCGTCCCATAGGAGACCTTCGTAACCAGCTTGCCCAGGGTCACCCTTAGAGCAGCCATCAGTGTTGAGCTTTGGTGTACCTGCAATAGGAAAGCACCAGTTAATAGTTGTAGGAGCTGTTGAGTTGGGATAGAGAGGAGAAGAGAAAGCCTCTTCAATCTCATGAGCATAGGTCCAAATACTCTTGAGACTAGCTTGAATGGGATGGTTCACATTTTCAAAAACCATGAAATTGTGAGCTTTCCAAATTTGCCACAAAGTGGCAGTGAAAAAGCGGTACCATTTAGTTTCAAGAAACACATTTTTAATTTTCAAATTGGGCGCCACCCATTCTGCTAGAGGTTGTCTGCAACCCTCCTCCCACCATTTAAAGTCTTTAATTTTAGTCCATATAGCTTTGGCACAGGGGCACTCTCGAAGGAGATGACTTGAATCTTCACTGTAAAGACCACATTTGGGACACACTTCAGTGGTTGTCATATTCCTCCTGAACCGCATTTGATTGGTTAGTAGTCGGTCATGGAGGATGAGCCATAGGAAGCATTTAAGCTTTTGAGGTATTTTAACCTTCCATAACCATTTCCAGGCCCTCCCATCAGATTCCTGGTTAGAGATAATTTTATAAGTAGAAGCTGTGGAGAAAGTTCCCTCAGAGGTTTCAATCCAAGTGGGCGCATCAGTGTAAGTCGCAAATCTGGGTCTGTGAATCGTAGCGATCTCTCAGTGTTCCAATTGCCTTCCTCATCCAGAAGTGAGCTCACCTTATCTTTGTCATTCACCTGAGTGGAAGGGTAATGTTGAGCAAAAGGTTGCAAGCCACGCCACCAGTCATGCCATAATAAAATAAGTCAAAATCTTTGAAGTAGTTTAGAAAGTTGAGTAATAATGTCACATAGTGTTTCAATACTAGTGAAATGAGTTAAACATATTTAAATCCTAATTTTTTTTAAAAAAAGATTGATTAGATTTAAACATTATGTAAATAATATCATATGATATTGGCCCCGTTTGGTAGAGCTGTGGGAAAGTGATTATAACTTATAGCCTAACAGCTTATAGCTTATAACTGTGAATATAAGCTAATTTTTGACTTATAAATTAAGTTTCTCCTCCCCCACTTAAAGAATAAGTTGATTTTTGACTTACAAAAAGTTATAAGCTGTATTGTTAAGCTGAACTAAACACATCAAAATAGCTTAAATTAAGCTAAAAGCTGAAATAAGCTGGAAATAAACCCTACCAAACAGGGCCATTATAAAATTACAGAATAATTGCCCAACTTTAAAAGAGAATGAAAAATAAAACATTTAACAATTGATCTATCTCTTTTGAGATTCAAACACAATTTTTATTTATTTATTTATTAAACTTATTGATAAATCTCACACACAAACTTCAAAATCCATCTAGTCCCAAAACAAAACATTTGTACCAATTAATCCTACATATTTCTAATCGTTACCAAAAAAAAAAAAAATCCTTTTTTCTTTTTTTTTAAAAAAAAAAATTTAAAAACACTGCTACATCTCACTACTGCTGGACTTCCATCAAACGGTCACTAGAGACTCGCTGGAATGTTCAATATCACCGCAAAGTAGCTGAATATCACCAGAAATTCACTAGAGTATCATCAGAGTGTTCTGAATGTCACCGGAAGTTTCCGAAATGCATAGAACGTTTGTTAAACATCAAGAATATTGCCGGAAACTCACCAGAATGTCTAGAATATTGCCAAAAAAAATAATAAATTGAGAAATTAGAGTGAAAAACATAGCAATATGTGCTAAATATTAATAAAGTGAAAGAAGAAAAAAAAAACGTAAGAACAACAAATAGCAACAATAAGAAAAAACATATGTTATTTTTAATTTTGTAGGGTTTAAGCAATTAATCTCCAATATTGATCAAACTAAAAAGTAAGTTTTGAAACTGTAAAATGTTACTGTTTCAATGATTCTATTAAACATTTATCCTTATTAATCAAACTGAAAAACATGTTATGAAACTATAAAAATTTATAATTCTAAAGAAAGTTATAAAATTGCAAAATTTTATAATTTTAAAAAATGATTTATTTCAACACTAAAAAAATTGAAACTGTAAAATTTTACAGTTTTCACTGCCTGTAACTAAAACTCGAAAACAATTTGCTCAAAACTTGAAAATTTCCCCATTATAACAGGAAAACAGAAGTACATAAAAAGTAAAAAAAAAATGAGAGATCGAAAGAAAGAGACAAATATAGAAAGAGACTTGTGTTCCGACAACAATTTTTTATTTAGATCTAGTTGGATCTGACGTAGATCTACTCGGATCTGACGTAGATCTACTCGGATCTGATATAGATCTGAGTAAATTTACATCAGATTTGAGTAGATCTACTCATCTTCTTTGTCGAAAACTCATCTCATTCGCCGTCAGTGAGTGCAAAGCAAGGAGTCAGTGCTCGGTGGTTGCATGTGAATCTCAATCAATGGTGGTCGTCGGTCACCGGTGATTGCAAATTAAAAAGAGAAAGAAAAGACGGAAGACGTGGTCGCGGTTATCGTCGATATCAGAGAAAGAGATAAAGAGAAGAAATAAGGTACAGGAAAAGATAAGACACTACAACATATAAGAGTTTTAAAGACCAAATGTTTTGGTCTCTAAAGTGAAAACTTTGTTATAAAAGACATTTAAGGTGTCAGGACCCGCTCCCCGTAACCAAGGGTTAAGCATCGTGATGGTCAATAACTGGAGTTACCTACGGCCAATTCTTAAACAAATAAATAGACACTAGCGGAAATAATATTTAAGTAAGGATACCAAAATAATCATTGGAGCTTCTATTTTTATTACAAAATTTATTGACCAAAAAGGCCGATATTTACATATAAAAATATCATAAAAATATTGTGTGTGTGTCTATTCCGCAGCCCCGCATCTAAGACTTTCCAAAAGCTATTTCTGAATTGCATTGTTTCCTGAAAATTGGTAAACAACTATAAGCACATGGCAGAGTGAGAAATATTATTCCAAAAGTATAAGGGACACAAAATAGCTATGGATAGTTAGTTAGGCCAAAACATTTACATAACTCAGTTTGGTAGATAAATCATTTGAGTAACAGAAACTGAAATACAGAAAATATGTAAATACATAAATATAACCACGATACCGAACAGAACAGAAGTCACAGAAGTGACAGTCAGAACAGAGGTACGGATTCAAGAGGTGGCTCGTACGGATTCTAGAGGTGGCTCCCACAATAGTGTAGCACTTAGCACCGC